GGCTGGATTTTTCACACAGCCTGTTCTCAGTGACCCCCTGCTGTCAACCTTAACCACCTTTTATTTGGAGTAATTTAGATCTGAGGCTCTGAGCCAACCCAATGCTGGTCATGAAACAAAATCATGACTTGAATAGCTCACAGTCCACATGTGGTTCTGGCAGTACAAGCTGATTCCCTTGGGCAATGACTTTCAGGTTTTTGTGCTTTTTGGCTTTTTGTTTTGTTTTTTAAAGGAATGATTTTATTTCCTCACATTTATTAGCATTCAGATCTACTGTACAGTGCTTGTTTCCTCCACATTCCTCCTGCTACAATTTCCGAATCCACCTTCATTGCTTCCATTTCTGTCCATGTTTGAAACTAGTTTCAACCAGCCATGGTCAAACCACACCCCATATGACTGCAGACCATGGAATATGAAACTGCACCAAGCCATTTTGCTAAAGCAGCGGTTTGTAATATGGTCACCAGCTGATTGTTTGCCTGAAAATCCCTATCCACAAGAGACACTGAAATAGTGCTAAAAGGCGGGCTAGTTCCAAAAATGTTAGGCGATGTTTGTGCTGCAGACTTCTGGACAGTGTAGCTCTGTTGACAAATGTGATCCCTAACCAAAGGGGCGACACCAGCAGCAGCTCCTAACGTGAGGACACAGCACCTTTAGCAGTTTTGTGGACTGAAGGTGGATTGGTGTTAAGATACCACACTAATAAGTCTATACTTTGTCCCATCGGATGACTAATCCTCCTGAGGGCCAGTAAAGATGTCTTAATGTAAGAACTGCCCCAAGGATTAGCAAACTAAGATCATGTTCAATTTGGGCTAAAAGGACGCTGGCTCCAGTTTCTCAAGGAATGTGGGAAGGCAAGGGGGGAAAGAGACAGGGAAGGACAAGTGCAATGAGTCAGTCTTTGGAAACCAACCTAAGAATTTGACTCTAGTTACTTCATTTACAGGCTGGTTCTAGAGCTACAGCCAGCGGAGCACTCAGTTTCAAACTGGAGCAGACAAGCTTGGGAGCCTGCCACTGCTGAGTGTCCCCAAGTCAACTTAACACAACAGCAAAGCTCACTCCTTTATGCTCCCTCACAAGTGCTTCCCCTGCTCTTGCTGAAAATACTGGTCTCCAGCTCAGGAGTCCTCTCAGCTTCCTCCTTCACCCTTGTGGAGAGTCCAGGCCAAAGACCTCTTCCTCCTCAATTCCACTGAGTGTCTCTCTGGGTCTATCCAGCAAGAAGCAAGGCAGTATGCTCCACAAGCCTGGAACCCTCTCCCATTTGCACACAGAGACAGTGGACAGCCCTTCTTCCTAGCCCATATGAAATCCTTTCAGATATCACCTGCATCCCTCCAGCAGTTCCTCTTCCATCTCTGCTGTGCAACTTGTCCTTCAATTTCCTACCCAGTTCTTCCAGTTTTCCCCACTCCACAGTTCTATCAGACCCAACCTTTCTTCTATCCAGTTCTGCATATAGACTATCTCCTGAGTTGGTCCACTCACCAACTGCCATTGAAGCAGTCACAACTGGATAAGTGTTTCAGGGCAAGGAGCAGAGCCAGTTCACAGTGACAAAAAGGTCAGTAACTGAGTGGTGAAGAGCCTGAGTCAGGAATGAACATTTGGACAGCAAGTGGCAAGAGTCACCCAGCAAGCAGAAAACCCCCAACCCAGGCCTCATGATTTGTATAAGTAACCAAACTTGATGTGAATTGCTTTGTTGAGTTGGGACAGCCACATCTGCCCTACTAATAGCCAGCTATGACTGAAGCTCTCACTAGCACAGACAGGGTGGAAGGACATCCATTAATGAAGTTACCCATTTGCTAAAGTAATCCATCACAAAACTCAAGCACACAAAGAAGAAGGGAAGTTTTGTGTAACAGTGTTTGGCCAGACCATATGCAGCACAGAAAGAGGGTAAGGTGCAAGAGATGTCCCTTTGCTTACAGCCGCTGCAAGGTGATAAGGTGTATGGAATGGTCTAAATTGCTTCATGATATGGCTATGGCACTGCAGCTGGGTCACAGCACCACAGTGTCAGTTCTTCTGCTGACTGTGTCAGCAGGCTGCAAGTATTGGCTCCAGAGACTTGTGCTGCCTCGAGGTCCCCTTCACACACCTCCTCAGGCTCATACAACAACATTCTATTAACTGGATTCACTTTCTGTCAGTCATTAACTTGCACTTCGCTGTAGCTCAGGCAGGACAACTGAGATCAGTGTGAGATTCCCTGGCTTGTGTTGAACAGGTCAAAGTAAAGAGTTGCAGCACCCTCCTCTGGTTCTGAAGAAGGGATGGGAAAATACTTACACAACAGGTACATGCTGGGAAACTATATAGCTCAAAAATCAAGTGTTTCCCACAGAGAAGTATTGATGAAAGGAAAAGAAAATTTGACTCAAACACTTCAATTTTTGCTTTTAAACAGACACATGTCCTATTTTATTACAGAAGGTCAATGCATGAGGAACATGATTTTGACACAGATGTGAAAAACATCAAATACCCTTTTATTTAGAAGTTCCTAAACAGAAGCCTCTAGGAGAAATCAGGTTACCTGCCAATTCAAATTGGTTCTTTTTCATGAAATTGAAAGACAAATCCTCATCTCTTTTTAACCAAAGGCAATGTCCTCATTGATATTCCACCAAGAGAAATTAAGATTCCTCAACTCTGACCACAGCTAGTTGAAAGGTGTGTCCAGCATCCTCTTCTCCCCACATCTGTAGATACCTTCAATGAACACACAAGCTTCTCATAGCAGCTCATACCCACATGAGAGCAGACTCCAATCCCTTTTTCCTAACTAGCACAGGCAAGAGATTTCCATCTAAGGGACTTCGTATCAACGTAGACTACATGTCAGACAAATTTACAGTCAAGGCCTGCCCTTGCTGCCAGAAATGGTCAATGCTGGGAGCAAGAGTGCAGCCAGTAGCGTGGACTCCAGAGCAACCTGCTGGAATGGAGCAGAATGGTTTTTAAAATAGGTACGAGGGGGGAAAAAAATCCATCTATGTACAGAGCACCTTGAATTTCAAGAGGTTGTTCAAAAAATCTAGAGCACCTCAGTGTAAGAAGGAAGACAAATTGCTTGGGAGCTTAAGTGAGGTGAGGATGCTTCTGAGAAGGTGGCAGGCAGAGCTGTGAAGCTCCCTGCCAAGCGGAATAGAAAGCAGTGAGCCATCCAACTGTCAGGAGATGCATCACCTTTTACCACTAATCACCTCAAAGACCCTCCAGGAAGAAGTGCCGTTTCCATCCACTGTGGAAATCCAACAACACTAAGGAGTGCCCACTTCTTCCCTCTAGCCCCTTCCCAATTCTGCCCCACCACATGGTTCCTGCCCACATCATCCTTGTTTTGTTCCTCCAGGCCTGTCCAGACTCCTGCTCTCCAGGGTGTATTCTGCAAAGACACCTTTCCCCTCGAGGGATGAAGAACAGATGCAGAAGTTATGAGAACTGGTGGTCTGCCAAGGAAATGGGTCAGTACTGTGTCAAGATGGAGCAGGAGACAACTCCTTGCGATAGTGAGCAGGAGAAAGCCTAACACAACATGCTCTATCTGCAAAGGCAGTAACAGTCTCACTTTATATAAGAAAAACATAGACTGCTCTAGTCACAGCATTTTTTAAAACTCATGATTTGGTGTAAAGAGTTGTCTAACCTTGCCCTGTCAAGGTAAAAAAGCAGGCACTACCTCATGTATGCCAAAATATTTGGCCATCAATTGCTTTTCGCAACAGAATCTTTTACTCTGAAACAGGAAAGAACTTAGTGTTTCACAGGAAACCTCATTCCTCCCCCCCACCTTGATATGCCCTGTACCACCTCATGGCGCCTGCCGTATTTAGATGGATAAACTGGGAAGACAGTCACAAGTATCAAGAATCTTTTGATCTGCAAGACAGCACAGTGCCAGCTTATATGACTGGAAATATCTGGCTCCTCAGATAAGAGCCTGTAACACACAGCTGATCTTCCTAGGGGGACTCCATGGGTCTACCATCTAACAACACAGATCAAGCAGCCAGATATACCTGAGATCAGGGCCCAAAGGAGGTCAGAGCTCTGTTTTGCACAAACATTGAGAGGAACATTGCCAGAGCAGCACCTGAGTGAGCTTCATGCTTGGTGCATAAAGCCTGAAGAGCTGGGGCAGTGTCCTGAAGCAGGAAAGGATCTCTGTAACATAGGGCAGACAGCCTTCAGCTTGTTGCTAGGCTAATACCCTTGTTTACAACCTGACAGAAAATAAGTGTAGTAAGTTTTAGCATAATCTGTGCCTTCAGAAGTCTGATCTCTCCAGGACTCACGTGCAGGAGGTGCTGCAAAGAAACAGCCAAGCTCCAACCACAGGTGTGTCTGCACAAATTCTGCCAAAGGGATAAAAAAAGCCTAGAGAAACACACAGTGCTTGTTTAGCCAGGAGTAAAAATTAGCCTGTGAGGTCAGCTATAGAAGACCTTGCTGCACTGAACCCCAGCAACTTGTCAAGTTAGTGACTGAGCAGAACCACATCACCCAGCCAGTGGGAGTGATGCCACACTCTGCCCAGAGCACCAAGGAGCCCTTGGACACTGCTGACTCACCCTCTGGCAATGCCCTCCAGCAGCACTTGGAGACTTGCAATGTTAAGAGCCCTCCCCAACCCAGAATTTGCCAATCTGCTTAATTAATCTGGCTTTTTATAATGAAGGTAGGAGGCTGCAGTTTAAATTGTCTGAGATCAAGCCAGTACCTGGCCACAGGGAACTGTGCACACTATAATGCTGCTTTAAGTCAACAGTTAAATCAATGGTACTTCATTATTTTAAATCAGTTGACAATCTGGTATACAAATGTTAAAATTAAGTG